GAGTGGGAGAACTTGCACAACTGGTGGCTGACTAAATACTTTTTTGCCCCACTGTACCACCCATAGGGGTGAGAGGGGAATTTTTTTATATATATCTGTCTAGAGTCCTTATCTAGGGAACAGTATAATAGCATATGGCTTAGTGTTTCTATTGAGCCATCTCCACATGAACATAATCGAAGGTGCATAGGAATGCCCTTAAAACATCTAAAAAGGACTGCTGAGTGCATTGCGTCCAGTCTGGCTAAGGTGAAAGCTTTACAAAATTTCAAAATTGTAATAGATGATAAATAAGAAGCTGGAACAAACCCTTGTGGTAGAAAATAACAAATATTGGGGTGTAGCACCTTAAATTTGTTTGTAGATCTATATCCCAGATACATTGTTTAAGGGCAGTTCTAGCGTTATCAAATCCTAATAAGCACAGACTTTCCATAGAGAAGCCCAGCAATTAAATTCTATCTAAGGCTTGTTTTTGCCATGATGAATCAAGCAGGACTAGGAGACATTAAGTCTCATCACAAGTCATCCACAAAAGTGACCAGTGGACCAGTGGAGTGATCCCCAGACACAATAAGTTCCATGGTGTAGGCATGGAGGGTATCTTCTGATTATTTCTCTTTTTTTGTTCAGAAGCTTATTCAGGAACATGGTGTTTGGTATAGGCGTCACACTGAATTTTGCAACAGATCAGATAATATATACTAAATTTTGTAGTGCTGAGGTTGGATATATCTTCTCTTCCTGGCTCCCATTTTATTGTTTCTTATAGAAATGGCAAAATGGGTCATTTGTTGATATTCTGGGACTGAGTATTTCTTATTAATGCATTGTGGGATTATATCTAGTAAAAAATGTGATTTAATTTCTAAAATTCTCTGAATGGATGCCCCTCCAATACGTTTGAGTTTGTTTGCATGTCCACCACATGTGGTAAACACCATCCTACTTAGATATGTTATGGATACAGAACAAATAAAAAATGCATGAAAAAATGGATGTGAAACTTTAAAGAAACAATAATAATTTCCAAAATTGATAAATCATGCAGTAAGAAATGTTGGAAATGACATGAAACAGAAGGAGTCTAAACTGCTTCTGTTGTGCTCCTGACTAATACAGAAGACAACCCAAGTACTAAAGGAAAGCAAACAAGGGGATAAGGGGTGTCATATAGCTGCTGGATAAGGTCATCCATTGCCATGGGGTGAGGAATCATCAATATTCTGTTGATACCCAATTATACATCTCCACCCCTGGTGAATTTAGCAGTGTTGTTGACGTCCTATCCCAGTGCCTGGAGGCTATGAGGGCCCGGATGGGGAACAGCAGGTTTTGGCTGAAACCTGGCAAAACTGAGTGGCATCGGGGCCTTCTGGTTCTGGGGCTTTGCCATCTTTGGTACTGGATAGGGTTGCACTACCCCAAATAGACCTAATGCGCAACCCGGGGTTCCTCCTAGACTCATGACTCCTGCTCGAGGAGTAGGCAGCAGTCATGGTTAGGAGGGCCATTGCACAGCTTTGTGTTGTGCACCACTTGCACCTGTTTCTGGAGCAGGAGGTTCTGCTCATGAGGGACTACTGTAATGTGCTCTACATGGGGCTGCCCTTGAAGAGTATTTGGAAGCTTCAGTTGGTGCAAAATGCAGTGGCATAGTATGTTAGAAGATGCCAACAATGTGTGCTCCAAGTACATCTGGCAGGACCCAGGAAACGGGCCTTTTTTGCTGTGGGATCCGCCCGGTGGAACATCATTCCCTCCAAGGTGAGACGGGCCCCATCCTTGATAACTTTCTGGAAGTTGCTCAAAACGTGACTGTGGCCACAGGCTTGGGGATCTCAAGGAAATGGTGAATCAGTGAGATGGCTACATTGTCTGTCTTTTAATAATATTGATGCTTTTTAAATTAGGAATTTTTAAAATCTTGTTTCTTTTTTATGGTTTGTTTTTTATTGTATGCTGCCCAGAGTCATGTTTGTGAGATGGACAGCTATATTATTGTGATTGATGAATGAATGAATGAATGAATGAATGAATGAATGAATGAATGAAAG